AAATACATATCGAAAAATACACAATAAATTCCTCTGAACCCCTCATGTTGATCAAATTTCGAGCATCAACAGTATTGCAAAGTTCGTGTGCAGTTTAGTACATGGCATCATATTTGCAAGTCCAAGATTTGTGGGATACTATGGGTGGTAGTTGATGTAGCACCAAGAATAACTCGGTGGACCAGCATGAGTTGCTAGATCCGGGAAGCCAAGTCCAGATGAGATTCCAGCTCGTTGACAGAAGGATACTCCAATCAGGGAGCTCACGGATGCAACTCAGAGTACTGGTCAACCTCGTAAGACGACCTCGAGGTAACAACCTCAGAGAGCTCGGGTATGAAGAGTGACTTGAAGGTGTCGAGGTCGCTGTTTGTAGTGTTTTTACCGAGTATGACCGCAAAGACCAATCTCGGGTCGTCTCTCAAAGAAACGTTGTTCGAACACGGATTCAAACAACGATTGATTCACAAGAAAGGAAAATAAAGATCCTAAAATCTCTAATCGCAATTTGGTGGTTAAATAAAGCTAAAGATAACAACTTTAGTACAAGAACGAAACCAGATTCAAATTTTATCGCAAGCAATACCTCAAATTGCAACAAAAAGGTAAACAAAGAGAAAAAGAACTAAGCACCATAAGACTCGAGGTAGAAAGAAGGCACTCATAGGTTCAGAGACATACAATCAAACAATCGTCACTCGTGAATAGATCATGAAGGATTATTATGTTAAACCCTGCAGGTGGATTAATTTTCGATACAATAATAAAGGCTTGAGTGGTAATAGTTTCGGTTCAAGATGTCAATTAATTCTTGATTGTCAGTAATAGAATTAATTGACGGATATTATATCTTAAGTGTTGGGAGATAAATCTAGTAATTATAATTGGAGTCTTGAATGTAGTTCGGGGATGATGACAAATTGCAATAGTATTTCATTAGTGGACTGGAACACTATTTAAGTCCCTGAGCGGAGTGGGTTTGGCCCACAATTAGCCCCAAGACTTAAGCAGCCCACATCATCACCTCCTTAGAGTCCCAACTGTAGCCATACAAATACACCATTAAAATCTTGGTATTGGGAGAGAACTCACGGATAAACTCGCGAGCCGCCACCCTAATTCTCGAGTGAGTTTTATCTATGAGATTTGTCGCTCCACCAAGACAATCGGAGAGGTGTCAGGTCACACGGTAGAAGACCACGAGATTGACGAGCCTCCCGGCGACCACCGCACACCCGTGAACCCTCGGCCGTGATCAGACGAGCCTCAGCCTGGCGACACGCAATCACCGCACACGCTCGGGAATTCGCTGCCGAGCGTTACCAGTGCATCCGTGCATCACCAAACAACGAGCCCAAGGCGCCCGACGCACGCGCAGCCGTGCATCAACCCGACGATTCTAAGACATCTGACGAGGCGATTTCCGGCGAGTGGAAAATCAACCGTTTTTCATCAACGAAATTCTACGGCTGCCTAGAGTCTGCAAATTTCAAGTCGTAAGTGTTCAACTTTAAACCTTTAGAATTCATTGCGCATAGATTTATCGTTGTTAGTTTATTCTTAACTTGCACATAACGAGATATTTTATTGGTCTTTTCAACAATTACATTGACTTCAGAACCTAACGGTTGCCTCTTGCTCAACTTCTCAGCTATAAGTTCTTTATCCAAACAACACACCATGTTACTCCAGCCACTAAAGATCAATTTTTCAAGTAGCCAGTTCATCGTAAAAAAAGTAGCCTTTTCCTCATCCACTGCAAGTTCACATCACCTAACCAATAGTGCATTAGTTGAAAATCTTTCGCAATTGATCCCTAAAGTCTAATTTTACCCCTTAAAGTGATTAGAGCACTGGCATTAGCAAAAACATGCTATACTCTTTTGAAAAATTCTCCTTAGGTGTATGATTATCCGGTTTCCATCTAATCCCAACACAAGTCTTTCAGAATTCAAGTCAAAATACTCTATCCATTCATTTCTTGCAGTGTCGACCTATTCTTTCTGTGAACTCCATTCTTTGTTAAAAACCCAACCAATTTTTATTTTTCAAAGCCACCATAGGATATAAGTTGACAAACTTATCCTATCCTTGATGGCTTTTTAATTCCCAACACAACAAATAGCCAACCACCAATCTTTAAAGTTTAGTTCTTGTCTTCTATTTTTCACCAAGTAACACCACTTAATTTCTAGTAAACCTGAGCTCCTTTGCAATCGAAGAACATGTGCTCCAAGTCCTCCTCTCCTTCTCCTCACAAATCACAAGCCCTGTCCACTTTCACACCTTTCTTCACCAACTTGCTTTTAATGCTGAAATAACCATACCAACAATTCCACAAAAAGTTTTTTGAGTTTATTTTCAATTGACGTCTTCTAAGTGGTTCTCCTCATTTTTTAGTTGTGTCTCTTGTTTCTGCTAGATTCGGCTCTTGTTGATGCTTTCAGGTTGTGAAACATGATGATTTCATAAACTGATTTGACTCTTATATCACCATTCTTGTTGTATTGCTATATTAATTTATCTTTCTATCCCTCATGGCTCAAAGGTATCTATAGAATTTGTTCTTCATCACAAGGATTAAAATTTTGTAAAACAAGCTCCTCATCCCACTCACTAACCCCCAGTTAGAATGATCCCTCACCCAACAAAACTTTTCTCTCTCTCTGAAATGTGCTAATAAGTTTAAAAGAGTTATTATTTGGGATCCAAGCTGAATCCCAAATGTGAATTGACTTCCCTTCCCAAACTCCTCAAACTTAACGAAGCTCTAGCCCCCAGTTAACTTCTCCACAACCAAGAATCCCTCTGCTTACGCTTAACTGTAAAATTTTCTCCCTAAAGAAATCCTTTCATCACTCTACTCATCAACAGGTTAGGTTGAGTGATTATTCTCCAGAGTTTTTTTTAACAATTAAGGCTTCATTATATGCTCTCAAGTCTCAAGTCTCTATAACCTAAACCCCCTTGCTCCTTCGACTTTACTAGAGTGTCCCTGTAATGTCCCTTTATTTTTAATAGAAAAATACCGAATTATTTTTCCAAAAATCAGAGTTAATTTTTCAAAAACCAATTTAAACATTTATTTAACGGGCGCTACTCGAAATTCACATAACAACCTTTTAAGTCTGCACTTAAACTACGGGGTACATCCATCCTGAACATATATATATATATATATATATATATATATATATATATATATATATATATATATATCTCATGCCAAACAATACACATGTTTCAACATTTATTCAATCATGCGAAATATTCAAATCCAGACCAACATAATAATAATAATATCCAAATATTACTCAAGTTCCATAAATCCCATAAAACAACGGTTCAGTTTCCACATGATAATAAATCAAGTCTAACAATGAGATAATCAATAATAAATAACTGGAAGCAGGTAAATAGTAGTTCAACATCAAATAATGTGTAATAACATGAAAAGGGAAAATGTTTAATATTACATGATTCTCATTCATAAAGGGAAAATGTGTAATAACATGCAAAGCCAAGCATTCAGTACATAACACGAACATGAAGTTCATCAGACCATTGTCTCCTTCTATTATGTCTCTCACTTAAGACTAGAGCTTTCAAGAAAAGATTCTGTTTTAACAGAAATTGGCTTAAGCAGGGATCAGAGATACAGTTGAAAAGTCCTGGAGCACTTCACAAGAACGGACACCAAGGCATAGCTTGATCTCCAAACTCAAGTACACCAGAGTTGAACTTCTCAAATGGAGTAAAAGTTTCAAGTCAGAAAATTATAAAACATTGCCTCCCTCTATAAACAGCTTGAAGAATTGCGATGGCAAGATGTGTTAAGAGATTGGGCATTATGGGATTCTCTAAAACAACAGCTTAATGATCTTAATAAAACTGAGGAAAGATTCTGGCAGCAGAAATCCAGAATCATGTGGATCAAAGAAAGAGATAGAAATTCCCAGTTTTTTCATGCTAGTACCCTTCAAAGAAGAAAGCAAAACACAATCACCAAACTTGTTACTGAGGACAACTTCATATGCACAGACAAGGAGGACATTTCAAACTGCATTGAAGACTTCTAAAACCATCTTTTCAAAAAGGTGGCACGTCACTATCTGCATTTTACCCATCTCTTTTTTGCTGATGACACATCATTGTTCACTCAAGCAACCCCTTCTCAAGCATCCTTAATTCTGAACATTTTAATGTGTTATAACCAAATCATAGGCCAACAGATAAACTTAAAGAAATCAGCTATCTTTTTCAGTGAAAACACTCACCTTACCACTATATCTTCCATTAGAGAAATCCTTCTGGGAATTCAAGTCCATACCTCTTCTAAAGACTTAGGACTCCCCTTAGACATTGGCAAGTCAAAATTTGATACTTTCTCTTTCATTCTTGACAAAGTTAAAAAAAGAATTTGCAGTTGGAAGAATAGGTACCTATCTCTTGCAGAAAAACAGGTTCTCATGAAGGCTGTTCTCCAAGCTCTGCCAGTCTGTGCCATGTCCAGCTTCCTTTTGGCAAAAGCCTTATGTCAGCAGATCTCCCTAACTATGGCTTCTTTTTTATGGAGCAAAGGTTTAGACTGCTAAAAAACCCTTCACTGGAAAACATGGAAATTTCTTTCTCTTCCTAAAGAGAAAGGTGGCCTTGATTTCATGGGCATTCATCTATTCAACAAAGCTTTAATTACCAAGCAATAGTAGAGAATACTTACAAAGCCCAACCTGCTAGTCAGCAAAGTGCTAAAATGCAGATATTTCCCAACTGAGAGCATATTTACAGTGGAAAAGAAACAAAACAGCTCTTGGCTTTGGAATAGTTGGCTGGCTATGAGAGATGATATTCAGGATGGTTTTAAGTACAAGGTGCAGGATGGAGCTTCATTAAAATTTGGGAATTTCCTTGGGTGCCATCCACACCCAAACTTCAGCCTCTTCATGCAGCTGAAACTCACAAGAATTTTGTTTAGGTACAAGAGCTATTAGATGATATAGGAAGAAACTTGAACCAAGAGCTTATTCACCAACTGTTCACTGATAGAGATGCAACAACCATTCTAAGTATCAAAGACTTAGACGCCTCCAAACCTGACAGATTGATATGGGCACATGGTCCTAAAGGCAATTCACAGTTTCCTCCACATATAACTCTTTGTTGAACTCCAAATGGAAGGAAATTGATGTAACTGAAGGCAGTATGAACCAAAAGCTCTACTCTGCAACAAGAAAGAGATGCTGGAGATTCAAACTCAGGAGAAAGCTTAAGCACTTTCTTTGGAAGAGTATGCAAAACATCTTACATGTTACATGCAATCTGATTAAGAGAGGGACGAGCATTGAAGTACTTGCATGAGTTGTGAGGAAGGACCAGAAACAATAGAGCACCTCTTCTTCTCTTGTCCAAGAGCCCAACAAATTTGGAAGATTGCTCCAATGTCATGGGATGACCTCTAACTGGAATCAGACAACTTCAACACCTGGTGGTCTAAAATTTGCTCACTCAACAATAGCCCCACCTCTGAGGCAAGAATCCAATTGTCCACCTACATCCTCTGGTGTCTTTGAAAAGCCCGGAACCTGTGGGAATTNAAAAAAAAAAAAAAAAAACCTGGAGAACCCCTAAATAAATTATGGATGCAGCTGTCAAAGAATTGAATGAATTCAACAGGGCCTCAGTCACTTCACCATAGGAATGAGTCCAGCAGGCCTTTTTGTTGTAGTCCTTGTTGTTTTCTTTTCTTTCTTCCTTCCCTTCTTAGTTTAGCTTTCTTTTTTCTGATGTGTATTCTATTTTTGCTACATTTAGATTGGTAGTTCGTTTGATTTCCTTTACTGGAGTGCTACTAGGCCCAAGTGTGGTGCAATGGTAGTGCTTACTTTTGTAGTGCCTTGCAGGAGTGGTTCTTGCTAGGCCCAGGAGTTGGAGATTAACCATTTGGATTCTATGCTTGAGCCACTGCTAAATGGTTGGGATCAACTTATGTTTTGTGTAGTTTCTTTGTCCCTAGAGCATCATTTGGTGTTTCTCCTAGTCTTGCCTCATGTAAGCCTATCGAGCTAGTTGGTCCTCGACATTTGTACATTCTTCTTTTGAGTTATAAATTCTACCGTT